TGTTATATGGTACAGCCTGGTCACAAACCCAGATCAGTGTGACTCTAAAGACCATGTTCTTTTTTTTTTTTTTTAAAGATTTTATTTATTTATTTATTAGAGAGCGAGCGAGAGAGAAAGAGCATGAGAGGGGAGAGGGTCAGAGGGAGAAGCAGGCTCCCCGCCGAGCCGGGAGCCCGATGTGGGACTTGATCCCAGGACGCTGGGATCATGACCTGAGCCGGAGGCAGTTGCTTAACCGACTGAGCCACCCAGGCGCCCCCCACCTTTGTTTTTATACTCTTATTAATATGCATGCATTTATAAACATGATACTGCAAAGTTTCCTTTGAAGTCTAAACTGTATCTTGTGCTTTTCATTCTGCACCTGCTGTTTTTATTCGATGTGGGTTTTTTTTTTTTTTTTGAGATTTATCTATGACAATACTAGTTCATTCATTTCATCTGCTATATAGTACTACTCCATTGTAGAATTGCTGTAATTTAGCTCTTCTCCTACTGATTGCTTTTGTCTGGTGCTATTACAAACTGTGCTGTGGTGAGCATCCTTGTCCTTGCCTCCTTGTGTTTGTGTGAAGCCTAGGCTCCCCTAGGGTGTACTCATTCAGCAGCTGTTTATTGTGAACTTGCTAGTGCCAGGCATTGTTGTGGGCAGTGGGGATACATCGGGAAACAAAACCCTGCTCTTCGAGAGTTTATGTAAATTGGGATTATTTGATTCTGGAATATTTGAATCTTTGCCCACTCCACAAAAATTTATTGAGTCTGCTGTGACAGAGATATAGGAGTGACTAAAACAAAATTCTGTCTTGATAGAGTTTATTTTCTAATGGGGAGGATAAAAAGATGTATGGCATACTGTCAAGTAGAAATGAATGCCTTTAAGATAATGAAAGCGGAGTCTGGGGTTTCTGCTTTAGATAAGTACTGATGGAAGGCCTTTCTGGAGAGAGGACATTTGAGGAGAGGCTTGAATGAAATGAAGCTGGGAATGACACTGGGGAATGAGTCTTTGAGCTGAGGAAATGAATGCAGAGGAGGCTTGGAAGAAAGAACATGATTAGAGAAGAACAGTAAGAATCCCAGGGTCACTTGAGTGCAGGGAGCAAAGAGGCTGATTGGGGATGAAGTGGCAGGGAAGGTAGCCAGAGGTCAGACCATGTTGGGCCTTTGCAGTCTCCCAAAGAGTTTAGATTTTATTATAATTGGGATTAAAAGGTGAACGATATAGTGGTTAGGTCTTGGGCTAGAGAGAGAGCAATAGAAATGATGGGAAGTGGTTAGATTCGGGATATATTTTAAAAGTGGTACCTACAGAATTTTCTGATGGCTTTGATGTAAGATGTGCAAGAAAAGTTGGAAAACAAGGATAACTCAACATTCTTGGATTGAGCCAAAATATAGACTGGTGGAGGTGTCTTTTACTCAGTTGGAGAGTACTAAGGAAGAATCAGGTTGAAAATTTACATTTGAAATGCCTATTAAGTATCTCAAATAGTTGGCATTAGATACTAAATGATGGTCTAAAGTGATTGTAACAGTTACACTCTCACCAGCTTCATATAATGCATTTGAGTGAGTCCCTGATGGATTCCAGCAGGAGACCGCATGTCACACTTCCGTGCTGTTGGGATTCATCAGTAATCAATGCAGTAAAGGAACCTGCCATTAAAAAAAAAAACACATAATTATTTTGTGTGTAAAATCAATTAACTTGTTGTGAAGTAAATTGTGTAAGTTAGGGTTACTAATTTTATGTTTTTATACCTTGAGTTTTCTTTAATTGGGGCTCACCTGTTTCCTTTTGTTTTGATTTTAATTCCAGATGCTGGATCTGGTGTGGAAGAAGTGGAATTAAGCTGGGAAGATTATCTAGAAGAGACAGGGTCCACTGCAGTTCCCTATGGATCTTTTAAACATGTAAGCAATAACCGTATTTGTTTTACTCACTATGTCCCATTCCTTTGTCTCATTGTACCCTCATTAGAGAGTTTAGAGTTATTTTAAGTTGGAGCACTTGAAAAGATTTGAGGGCTTTTTCCTTTTCCCTCCTCCTGCCACCCTCATTAAGAAAGCTGGACATACTTTTTTTTAATATGTTATTTATAAGTAATCTCTACACTCAACTTGGGGCTTGAATTTACAATCCTGAGATCAAGAGTCGCATGCTCTACTGACTGAGCCAGCTAGGCCCTCCTGGACATATTTTAAAATCCTTTTTGGTTTTGTGTATTTTCTGCCACTCAGTGCAGGACTTGTCTTTTTGACTAGTCATGAATATTCCTTTATTTTTGTCAAAAAACCCTCTATAATTGAAGAAAATGGTTTATTTTCTTGCACTTTGTTTTATGACCATTGGCTTGCACATTGGGAGTAATTTCAGTAACATTATTGCTTTCTCTCATGTTGAGCAGAAGCGTGAGTAACGTCAGATAGTGGGTCAGATTAGTGGCCAGTGCAGCGTGGTTTTATGCCCTAATAGCCCAGTTTAATTCTTAATCCATTGACTACATATTTGCCCTGTGTGATGTCTTTAGAATGTAAGAAAATACTCCAAATTTTATTAATAATTTATATTCAGACCTAGTTTTTTAACCTGTTCACTTACACTCCATCTTAAAACATAGAATTATTGAGTCTATTGATTTCATGTTTGTCTTAGTCTGTTCAGTCTGCCATAACACAATACCATAGATTGGGTGGCTCAAACAACAGAAGTTTATTTTCTCACAGTTCTGGAGACTGGAAGCCTGAGATCAGGGTGCCATTATGGTTAGGTTCTGGTGAGGACTCTTTTCCTGGTTTGCTGACAGCCTCCTCACTGTGTCCTCACATGGCAGAGAGTGAGAGAGCAGGCTCTCTGGTGTCTCTTCTTATATGGACACTAATCTTACTGAATCAGGGCTCCAGTTCTATGGCCTCCTTTCCCCTTTACTACCTCCGTGAAGGTGCTGTCTTCAAATACAGTCACACTGGGAGTTAGGATTTGAACATATGGATTTTGGGGAGACACAATTCAGTCCATAGCAGTGTTCAACAGGGCATAGTTCCTTTGTTCTAGGATTTGAGAAGGCACAAACACTCACTCAGAATTGTTTGATTTTGTCAAGTTGAACTGTATTCTTAAGTGTTTTTATAAGCTGAAGAATCCTGCTTATTTTCAGTTTGTTTTGTAAAAACTCAGTCATGATAGTTGTCCTTTCTGTTTTTTAGTTCATTTATGTTTTTCTTAAATTGAAGTGGTGAGATTTATATATTTTAAGTAAGGATTTCATTTTATATTGACTAATCTTTTATAAACGGTTTCAATATTTTTTAACATAGAAAGTCTATTTGTGAGGGGCGCCTGGGTGGCTCAGTCGTTAAGCGTCTGCCTTCGGCTCAGGTCATGATTCCAGTGTCCTGGGATCGAGCCCCGCATCGGGCTCCCTGCTCTGCGGGAAGCCTGCTTCTCCCTCTCCCCTCCCCCTGCTTGTGTCCCCTCTCTCACTCTGTCTCTCTCTGTCAAATAAATAAATAAAATCTTTAAAAAAAAAAGAAAGTCTATTTGTGATCATGTAATATTTTTGAATTCTTGTTTTTAGTGTTATTACTAATCTGATATGTATTTATACAAGCTTATTTATTTATACTAAAATGAAAATGGAGGACAAATTTTCTGACCAAAATCCTGGATCTAAAAAAGTGACATTTTAAAGAGACAGATCCACCTTTTCTCTTTGGCAAAGCAACAAGGAGAATGAAAAATAGATGTATACTCTCTCATCATCAAATGTAGAAAATATTTGTAAGCTTTAATCAGTATATCGTGAAGGGCTGCTAAATATAGTGAAAATCAGGCAACGGTATAGGAAGATGCTGGGAAGAGATGCCGGTGGATAGCTGATCACAGGCAAAGCTGGTAGAACTCAGATCTCTAGGACAGTGGAGATGGATGTTTAAGCTGCTGGCAAGAGTTTTATAGGACCCAGTTTGGAATAAAGGAGGGAGGGAAGATGGGGCTGAAGAAGAAATTAGAGGCAAAACCACATTTGCAAGGAGGACGAGTCTAAGATAGTAAAATAGTTTTCCTCATGGTACATGTCTGTTGGAGGAAACAGCACCAGCTTTGGGAAAGGCACTAAGCTTTATCTGAGTCTTCCTGAACAAAAGCTTTAAGCTGCTAGGGGAAGGGATGCAAACCCTGTTAACCCCAGGATGCAGGGGAAATCCACTGCAGCCTAGAGATAGAAGAAATAAAAGCCTTTTGTCCCTGGAAGAGGGATAGGAATACAAGCTGGAGCAATCGAGGTCCCTTAGAGTTGGGAGAGGGGTAAGATCACTGAGAAGTTCCTACTCCCTTTCTTTTTTTTTTTTAAGATTTTATTTATTTATTTGACAGAGACACAGCGAGAGAGGGAACACCGCAAGGGAAGTGGGAGAGGGAGAAGCAGGCTTCCCGTGGAGCAGGGAGCCTGACACAGGGCTCGATCCCAGGACCCTGAGATCAAGACCTGAGCTGAAGGCAGACGCTTAACGACTGAGCCACCCAGGCGCCCCGTAAAGTTCCTACTCCTAAGACTCGGGACACAGAACCTGACTGAGACTGAGGCTGAATCTCAGAGAATGTGCTTTCCTGCTTGTCCTCAACCACCAAGTTAGGAAATGTTGGGTAACAAAGGTTTGTTTGTAGGAGGCAGACAAGCTTGTGGAGAGAGGTGGTCTTTGAGATGCAGTCACAAAGAAAAGACCTAAATCTGAGGGTCGAGCAGCAAATATTGAGGGAAAAAGCCCTCTGGCAAATGAGCCTCTACCTTAAATAGAAAATGCTAATGTATCTTAGAGCCTGTAGTGTACTGTGAATAATTAAACAACAACAAAACCCAAACCCAGTTCCACTCCTAACTACATTGACTTTAACCTTTTCCCTCAAATTTAAGGCCTAAAAAGAAACATGCCCATTTCCAGGCATAAGTGTTATTTGTTTCAATCTCGATTATTCTATACAGGATGTCTGGCTTTTAACCCAAAATTATGGGACACATGAAGAAGTAAGAAAAAAATAGCAAACTGTCAAGAGACAAAGCATTCAATAGAACTAGACTCATAAGGCCCAGATATTGAAACTATCAGACAAACAGTTGTAAATAACTATGAGTACTAGGTTAAAGGCTCTAAACAACATGTGTGAACAGAAAGGGAATTTCAGTGGAGATGGACACTATTAGAAAGAGTCAAGTGGAAATCATAGAAATGACAAATATGGTAATAAGAGATGTCAAATGCCTTTGACAGGCTTATTGGGAGACTTGACACAAATGAGGGAAGAGTCAGTATACTTGAAGATAAGTCAATATAAATTGCCCAGACTTGAAATGCAAAGAGAAAAGAGGGGGCAAAAAACCAGACCAGAATATCCAGCAGCTGCAGACAGTATAAAAAAAAGCTTAATGCTTATGTAATTGGAATCTCAGGAGAAAAGAAAGTCAGGAAAATATATTTGAAGAGCATAATTGACCACTGTAGCAGAATAAAAGAGAAAAATCACATTATCAACTCACTATATAGAGAAAAATATTTGGTAAAATTCCACACCCACTCATGATATCAAAAACTCTTAGCAAACTATAGATGGGAATTTCTTTAATTTGCTAAGGGATATCTATAAAAAAAATCTACAGCAAACTTCATTAATAGTAATACGCATACCTTCTTTTAATTATGGAACAAGATAAAAATGTTGTCTAACATGACTTCTGTTTGATATTGTATTAGAGATTCTGGCCAATACAATAAGATAAGACAAACAATTAAAATGTATAAGGATTAGGAAGAAAGGAAAAAAAAATGTTATTATTTACAGATATAAAATTAATGACTAATTTTAGCAAGAGTATTAGAAACAAGGTAGCATAAAAAATCTATATTTCTAGGGGCACCTGGGTGGCTCAGTTGGTTGAGCGTCCAGCTCTTGATTTCAGCTCAGGTCATGATCTCAGGATTGTGAGATTGAGCCCCACGTCGGGTTCCACACTGGTGTGGAGCCTGCTTAAGATTTTCTCCCTCTCCCTCTGCTTCCCCCCACTTCTCTAAAATATATATATATATAATTAATTTATTTATATCCATTATATTTCTATATACTAGCAGCAAAGTGGAAACTGAAAGATGTGATTTACAATAGCATAAAAACATCAAATGCCCAGGAATAAATGTAACAAAAATCTGTAAAGTAACTGCAAACCATTATTTTTTTTTTAAAGATTTTATTTATTTATTTGAGACAGAGAGAATGAGAGACAGAGAGCGTGAGAGGGAGGAGGGTCAGAGGGAGAAGCAGACCCCCTGCCAAGCAGGGAGCCCGATGCGGGACTCGATCCAGGGACTCCAGGATCATGACCTGAGCCGAAGGCAGTCGCTTAACCAACTGAGCCACCCAGGCGCCCGCAAACCATTATTGATATAAGTTAAAATGAAGGAATATACTTTGTTTATGTAATGGTAGATTCGCTATGGTAAAGATGTCAGTTCTCCCCAAGTACATCTGTAGATTTACTGCAACCCATGTCAAATACCAAAAAAAAATTAGGGAGAAATTAACAGTCTGATTCTTTTTTTCTGTAATATTTTATTTATTTGAGAGAGAGAGAGCATGAGAGTGTGAGCACTAGGGGGGGTGAGGGGAGGGAGCAGAGGGAGAGGGAGAATCAGACTCCCTGCTGAGCAGGGAGTCCAATGCAGGGCTTGATCCCAAGACCCCGGGATCATGACCTGAGCTGAAGGCAGATGCTTAACCGACTGAGGCACCCCTACAATCTGATTCTAAAGTTCATGTGGAAATACAAAGGAGCGAGGATAACCAGATATAGCTAAAGAATAAGACAAAACGAGAAGACTCCCTGCACTAGATATGGAAATTAAGGCAGTGTAGTACTGCTCTAAGGAAAAACGAATCAGAAACAGATCCACTTTTGTAGGGACACTTATAACAAAGGTGGCAATTTCCAGTGGTGAGGAAAGGTCAATTGTGTATATGTATCTTCAAACAAATAAAACCTGACTCTTATCTACTATCATACAGGGAGATTAATTCAAAGTGGATATTAGTGCTGAATAAGAAAGGCTTCTAGAAAATAATATAGTATTTTATCTTTATGACTTATAAGGATAGGGAAAATTTGTTTAAAAATACAGAAAAAGCACTAACCTTTTAAAGGAGAAACATTGATGAATCAGAGTACATTAAAATTAAGAACTTCTGTTCATCGGGCGCCTGGGTGGCTCAGTTGGTTAAGCGACTGCCTTCGGCTCAGGTCATGATCCTGGAGTCCCGGGATCGAGTCCCGCATCGGGCTCCCCGCTCAGCAGGGAGTCTGCTTCTCCCTCTGGCCTTCCTCCCTCTCATGCTCTCTGTCTCTCATTCTCTCTCTCTCAAATAAATAAATAAAATCTTTAAAAAAAAAAAAGAACTTCTGTTCATCAAACAGCACCATCAAGAAAGTGAGAAAATATTTGTAACACAAGTAACTGACAAAGAACTGATATCCAAAATACAGACTTGACAAAAAAAAAAAAAAGGCAAGAAACTTAGCCATTTCCCAAAAGAAGAAACCTAAATGACTAATAAAGGTTTTCATCTTCATTAATAATGAAAAAATGCAAATTAAAGTCACAATGAGATACATAGCACACCTTCCAAAATGGTTAAAATGAAAAAGACTGAACATACACAAATGTTGCTTAGAATGTTGGAGCAAAAGGACTTTAAATAAATAAGTAAAATATTTTAAAAAAGGATTTTGCATACACTACTGGAAGAGTAAACTGGTGCAATCACTTTGGAAGTGGTTTGGCTGTATCTGTTAGAGCAATCCATGTGTGTATGCACCAGAGACACACAAATATTTGTACTGTCATGACAGTATTATTTATCGTCTTTCAAAGCTGCAAACTTCTCACAGTGCCTACTATTTGTAGCATTAGAATGGATAACTTGTATAATGGAATACTATACAGCAGTGAGAAGAAATAAACTGTTAAATGCGACATGAATGAATCCATAAGCACTGTTGGGCTGGAGAAAAGCCCACACAGAAGAACATGCGTACTGCATAATTCTATGAATATAGTATTAACGCACAGACAGTATTTACAGTGTTATAATTCAGGGTAGTGATTACCTTTCACAGGACTTTGGCAGGGCAGTGATGAGAAGGGGGAAAGATTTTTGTACAGCATGTAGGACTTTCCCTCCCTGACTGTCTTTCCAGGACTCTCCTCACTTCTCAGTGGTTGTGATTGCTGCATTGCATTTACTTGTCAGGCTGCCATAGTCTCCCCGTGTTTGGTAGTTCCTCGTTCTTTGTCTTTCATGGCCTGGACATTTTGAAGAGCACATTACATATCAGTTATCTTGTAGAATATTTCTCAATTTGGGTTTGGGCTTTTCTCATGATTAGCTTGAGTTTATGCAGATTTGGGAAGAATTTCATAAAAATGATACTGTGCTTTTCTTACTCTGTGGTATCAAGGGTATACGGTACTGATGTTTTAAAACTGGTGATGTTAACTTTTATCAGCTAGTTAGGGTGGTGTCTGTCATAGTTCTTCATTATGATTTTACTGTTTTCCCCTTTGGAATTAGTAAAAATCTTATAGGAGAACCTTTGAGATTATGTAAATATCAGTCATTTTAGCCCTGATCCATGATTCTTGCCTGCAGTGTTTATTTCTGTGGTTTGTCTAATGGTGGTTTTCTGTTTCTCTCTTTTTTTTTAAGATTTATTTATTTGAGAGAGAGAGTGAGCAAGAGAGAGCAGAGCACAAGCCGGGGGAGGAGCAGAGGGAGAGGGAGAAGCAGACTCCCCACTGAGCAGGGAGCCCAGTGTGGGACTCGATCCCAGGACTCTGGGATCATGACCTCAGCTGAAGGCAGACGCTTAACTGACTGAGCCACCCAGGAGCCCCTGGTTTTCTGTATCTGTCATTTTTCTCTGTATTTATTAATTGGTCTTTTACTCTAAGGATCTATCCCTTTGTTAATTATTTTTTACAGTATGGACTCATGGATATTGTTTAAATCTATGGGTTATAATCCATTAATCTTATTATTTATTTTATTGTTCAAATTGTCCCTAATGTGAACATTGGGGGATCTTTCTGGTTGGCTCCCATGTCCTTTCCAAATGCCCCCGTCATTTTTGGAGCATTTCCTTACTTTCTGGCATCACAAGATATTCCAGGCACTTAGTGTGTTTTCCCTACTCCAGAATTGGAATCACTTATTTCTCCATGGAGCCCATGTTCTTTTTTTATTGGAGGTGGCATTTATAAATGAAGAATTTGTACACTAAGTTTGCTTATTGCTGATGAGTATCATTACTTATCATCCCTGTCAATTCACAGAGCTAGGAAATATATTAGCACACACATACATACACATCTGTACTCTTTTTTGTCTGTCATTGTGACCTCATTCTGACACTGCTGATTCCAGTTAGTCGCCACAAGGATCGTGCTAGTCTGCTCTTTCCTTGTTTTTACTTCTTTCTCCCACAGTGAGAAATGTGGCTCTCGTTTCCCACAATATATGTACACATTTAATCTTTGTATACATAGGAAGTAGTTCCAGAATTGCTCACCTTTACCTTTGTGACCATATAATTTATCATCTGAATTAGGACACTTGGAGAGAGAAACAGGGCATTATTAATTACTATTCAAGGATAACAGGTGTAAACATAGACTGTTTCAGGGGCACTGGGAGGTGTGGCTCCTTACATATGGTACATATTATACTAATTTATTGTTATAATATTATATTATAAGAA